GTAACTCTCATGCACACAGACATAGTAACTCTCATGCACACAGACATAGTAACTCTCATGCACACAGACATAGTAACTCTCATGCACACAGACATGAGTGTCGTAAAACTAAAATGCAGGAAAAAGAGCAAAGGGAAGCATATCGACACAAAGGCACCCTCCAACCACCCTCGTCTTTTGTTCTACAGCTGGAAGTCCTGAATCGTGTCAACTTATGCCATGCCTTTGCCCTTAAGACACATGCAGTATGCATGGATAAGTTGTCAGATCGGAACAATATCTTCTCAGGCTCTGCCATTGTTTTCTGGCGTGTGCGTTCATTGTTCACATTCCTGTCTGGAGATTTTTATTTTTAATTGTTGATGTTGGAATGGATTTTTTCTGTTTGATTGTGTTTGTTTTTGGTTCTTATGGACCTGTCTGGTGTGCAATGACGTTGTTGCCCTGGACAGGTAAGGACAGGTATGTTTTGGGTTGGGGGGGAGGGGGGGGGGTTCAGCTTTAACTTAGAGGTAATGATTGTGTCTTACTTTTCCAATATTTTGACGTGACGGGTTATTTTTCTTTTTGTGGTTTTCTTTATTCTTGCGACCCTGTATGTCAAGGCCAATGGGTGGTTGGCGGGTGCTCTGGTGTGGTTTGCTTCTTCTTTACTATCAAACATCTATCGTCCTTTTCTCCCCTTTTTCTTTTTTATGTTTGTTACTCTCTTGTAAAAGCTCTAATCTTCTGGCGCTCATATGACCTTATGCAGTTGCGAGCGACGTAAAACCTCTACTAAAACTAACTGTCAAGGCCAGTGCGGGCTGAGAAGGATCCCAGCATTCCAGCAAAAAGGTCGAGATACTGGATACAAATTATGTACCCCACTCCCACAGGTGGGAATGAGCACTCGACAATAGACAGCGAAAGATCCTGTCCGTTTGTTAGTGTTTGAGCGCGTGTAATCCACATCTCCGACACCGATACGACACATCACCGACACCGACACGACACACATTGCTATACTACCAGAGTCAGAAGTTGTCACTTTTCTTTCCCTGCTGTGTGTCGGCTCCGTATCAACCAGGTTTCATTTCGGCGCCGTTTCGCCTGGATGTCATGCCGTATCGAAGTCAATGTGAACGTGATGTTGGTCGTTACCCTCTCGGTTTGGGTTTTAATCTATTCATGTTTGTGTATGCCTAGTTGTGACAACCAAGAGATACGTGCGGTTAACAACCTTGGTGTGGAATTTGACAGGCACATATTTTGTACTGACTTAACCCTGCACTAGCCTGGTTGGGATCTGAGAAGCTGGAAAAAAACTTCTTTTTTGGGGGGGTTGCATGATCCTAAATTCTTTTCAAACGTGTTATGTCAGTCTTTACACTCAATGTTTTAAGTATAATTTTATTATGTTTTGAAAGCCTATATCCCCACGTGGGACGCTCACTGTTTAAAAACAATCAGGAAACGACAAATGCAGTTTTTGGGACACCTGAATAGACATAAGGGCCTTGAACATTTAGCTCTCACTGGCAAAATTGGGGGCAAACGAGGCAGAGGTAGGCCCAGAGCAACCTACTTAGGGAACCTAAACAAATGGGTAACAGGGAAGGATCAGGGAAACGTAGCTTTTTTAAGAGCATCGGTGCAAAGGAATGAATGGAGAACCATGATCGCCGATGTCTGTCGCAGATCTGGCCCTGGATAGTAATTAGTAATTACCAAAAGATAATAGTGTTTCACAACTTGAGTGCACAGTCTTACATGCACCTTTGTACTGTATCATTTCTATTCAAGCCTAGTTGTGATCTATGAAGCTGGAACCAGCTGTATTTCTTTGTCATTCGTTCTGACTTCTTTCATAACTCGTTATGTCGAACGTTACTTTGTCAGTTTTGTTTATAATCTGTTCATATTTGTGTATGCCTAGGTAGATCTACTACTCTTTGTTTTTTAGAATGTCTGGCGGGTACTCAGGTGCGGTTTGCTCTTTCTCTACTTTCTATGAACTATCGCCCTTGTATATCTCATTTTCTTCACACGTTAGTCTCTTTCTACACCTCTCATCATCGGCACTTATAGTGTCACTTATTTGTGTTGCACATGCTGGAAAACTCGACAGAAAACTAAGTACAATATTGCAGCCATTCTGCACCACTCTCGTTCAGTACCGCTGTCGTTTTGAATCACTCACTATCGTTTCGTGTTGATATCGTTCGGTATCTCTATGTCATTTTGAATCACTGTCTTTATCGTGTTGGTGTCGTTTCGTGATTCTCTGTCGTTTTGAATCACCGTCTTTTCATGTCGGTATTGTACATTTAGATTTCTTGTCAACAATCAGTAGGACTTTATTAGTCTTACCCCAAACAAAAGTGCTGGAGCCAATGAAGTGGTGTTGTGGTGAAATCAGGCGCTCGTCAAAATAATGTAATGGAAGAACTTGGCAATTTTCCGCCTTTTGGGCTACCTTTTTTTGGTGGTGGGGGGGAGGGGGGGTCAAAATTGTTCAAGTCCACTTTAAAGAATACATTTATGGGGTTGATGTTACAGGAAAACGTTGATCAAAGACACACAATAAATGTAAATTTGCAGTTTGCAAGAACACTTAAGCTTGGAAAATCACCACCCACTGGCGGCTATTTTCTCGCTTATTTTACCTCTGATACCAGGCTCCCCTGACCTGCTCCTTCGTTCGTAAATTAATACCTTGACTTATTTTCTTGAGAGATAAGATTTAAGATTACAATTTTAACCGATAACTCCATAATTATGCACCCC